GTGGAGAGGCCCACGTGGCCAGGACCTCAGAGCATGGCCTCAGGGCGGCAGGCTCTCAGCAGCCTGGGGAGTGACCTCAACAGGGCACCCTCTTCCAGCCCAGCCTCCCACTCAGCCCACTGCCCAGGTGATATCTCTCGGTTGTAACTTGGTGAAAAAGTCTGAACCAGAGGCCCCAGTTAAGTGCGCCTTGATTCCTGACCCATAGCAACTGGGCGGTAATAGATGCTGTTGTTTGAAACCACTAGGTTTTGGGGAAATTCGTTCCGCAGCAATAGATAACTCATGTAGTGTAGCTGGACAAACTCCAGACAGATGGAAGGAAAGTTGCTTACAGTGGGGGGCACTGTTTTCTAGCTCAGACAGAGGCGGTTAGTGTGGGCATTTGTAGCCCTGCGTTGCCCCTCCCCCAGCCCAGGCTTGGGGAAAGGGGCAGTGGTTGGCTTCTCTCTGTCCCCAAAGGCCTGAGGACACAGAGGATGAATGATGAGGGCAGGGACGGTGTTGGGGTCCTCTGCTTGGCGGGCACTTAAAGTTCCTCTGGGTTTGGCAGGTGTTCAAAGCGGAGTCTGTTTTTTGAGGTGTGTTATGTGTTCTTTGGGGCCCCTTCTAGTGGCTTCTGCATGGCTCAGTCCCCTGACACAGTGGGACATGGTGGGCCAGGTCGCAGGTGTCAGTCCCTTTTTCTAGGCATTTGGGGCAGGCTGGTTTTTAAGGTGCCCCACGATGGCCGTGCCATCTGCCCTCACCGCTGCCCTCTGGCCTCGACAGCCTCCAGCCACTGTCTGCTCATCATCCATAATTTGTCAGGCCCAAGTCAGACACTGGTCCCCCAGATCCTGGGTGACACACAGCAAACTCCAGGTATCTCCTGAAGTCCCTCTCACAGGACTGGCCAGGGGTCATTGCCCCCTCTCTGAGAGGGACCGAGGCTCGCTCCACACTGGACTGCTTCCTCCCCCGAAGTCCTCTCTGCAGTTTCCCGAGGCAGCCTTTTCAGGCCCCGGGGGCGGGTGTTGGACCCAGGCACACAAATTGATTTTTCTCCTGGAGTCTCTGCAAGGCCAGGGTCTTGACTTGAAACATCGGGCATTTGGACGTCGAGGCTGAAACCGAGACTCAAAGCACCTGTGTTGTCACCCTCTGTCCACAGAGCAGGCGTGTGGTTGCTGCTCAACAATAGTGGTGCCTATTTGTGCATTGTCGCCAGGGATTGAACGTATCAATGGGTCCAATCAGTGGTCTCTCTGTCTCCAGACTCTTGGCCCTGGGACTTCGCAGCCCCTCCCATCAGAGAATGGAGTCTCTTTCCCAGTCCTCGGATTTTGGCTGACCTCATCGTTGCTCTGAGCAACAGAACGAAGCAGCAGTGATATTATATGTTTTCTGAGCCCAGGATCAAGAGACCCTGTATGGTTTTGGCCTTTCTCTTGGCAGCCTCTCGCTGCCCTGTGAACAACCCGAGGGGAGTGTGAGGGACCATGTGGGGAAAAGCTGAGCCAGCCCAGTTGTCCTGAACAGGTGACGAAATCCAGCCTAGGTAAAGCTACCTCCTTGACCACAGAGACAGGGAGGAACTCTGTTGAACGCCACTCAGGGGATCAGCTATGCCCAGCTGACCCACTGACTTGTGATTAAAAATGCTTGTTATGGGCTCAGTTTGGTGGGAGCGTGTCATCCCATAAACCAGAAGGTTGTGGGTTTGCTTCCTGGTCAGGGCACACGCCTAGGTTACAGGTTCGGTCCTCGTTTGGGGCACAGACTGATTGATGTTTCTCTTCCTCTTTTTCCCTCCTTTTCCTTCTTCAGTCGTGCCCTCAGATGAGGATTAAAAAATAATAACTGTTATTGTATGCCCCTGCGGTTTTGTCCTTGTTTGTCACACAGCATCACGGGGGCAGGTGACAGCTGACACAATGGTGTGGCATGAGCCGAGCTCCTGAAGGAGGCATTTACAGGGGCCGCTCTCAAATTCCAGGTGACAGAGCCGACTGCCAGCTTGGCCTTGTCATCTGCACACCCTGTTCCTGGAGGAAGACCGTTTTCCTTCCTTAAGAAGCATTCCCACTTTCCACAGAGGTAGCTCCCTCCCGGGCTCGTTGGAACTCTCCAAGTCCAGCCCTGCAACAGGGCTCCTCCGGCAGCTGGTTAGGATCATTGAATGGGGGCGGAAGCTCATGAAGCTCCCCTCCATCCCAGTCTTCCTTCCAGGCCCGCAGATGCTGAGGGTTCTGTCGTATCCCATTAGCACCATGTCTGGGCGGTGTCCAGACACACACGGGGTTCGCTTTCCAGGGAACAGGCATTTGTCCCTGCAGGGAGGGGCGTGTTTGTGGAAGTTTAAAGATGTGTGTTCGTCTGACGGGGGTGGATGATGGCAGAGAGCACGAGAAGACCCAGAATGCTCAGGAAGTCAAAGGACTCATGCAGGCTGCTATTCACACAACACAGAGCTGGCATTTGGAGTGTTCTCTGGACAGTCCCAAGTCCCTTTCTATTCTTTTTATTTTATTTATTTATTTTTAGAGAGGGGAAGGGGAGGAGAAAGAGAGGGAGAGAAACGTCAGTGTGCGGTTGCCTCTCATAGGCCCCTGACTGGGGACCTGGCCTGTAGCCCAGGCATGTGCCCTGACCTGGGAATTGAACCACAGACCCTTCCATTCGCAGGCCAGTGCTCAATCCACTGAGCCACACCAGCCAGGGCACCTTCTGTTCTTGTCTTATGCTGGCCCCCAGCAAAAACCCTACCTCCATGGAGAGGACTGTGGAGTCAAAAAGGCTTTTGTTCCAATCCTGACTGGAGCAAAACAGTAGTAGTCAAAATGACATTGGCTGTTATTGAGCAGGTTTTCTTTGCCAGGCTTTGTGCTAAGAGTTTCGTATAAATAGTCTCACGCAGGCCTGGACAGGAAGCTCCGTGAACTCAGAGGCGATGACGCCCACTTTGCTTTCCAGTGCGCATCAAGCAAGTGGTACAGTTCTTGGCATTAAATGTTCGACACGTGTTTAATGAATGTGTGACTGACTGAGAGTCTTGTGGGGTAGAGGTAATTATTCCCATCTTTAAGAAATGACCCAAGTTCCCACATCGAGGGAGTCGGGGAGAGGCTGCGACCAGAACTGCTATTTCCAAGGTTCCTTATCCCCCCACACATCGCCTATGGGATTCCTGGAAAACAGGGGTGCCGATAGCACAGTAGACACCACACGGGGATGTTGCAACAATGACCTAAAGCAGAGAAGATCCACACATAGGAAATGACCCAGTGTGGACAAACACGAACGCTAGGTTTCTGAGGATGTTGTTTGTGGCTTTGTTTTCTGTTAAAGTGTTTGTGAAGAGTGGGGGTCATGGAGGACCCGAGGGGGCCTCATCACGGCACCGCAGAACCCACATACCACGGGTCCGATGAGGACTCGCGGCGCCAGGTGTTCAAAGCCACGTGACACCCAGGCCGCCCCAACTACCCTATTGCGTTCCCGCAGCCCGGGGCTCGGACTGCGGGGAGAGGAAGTGTGGGCCCGGTGTAAAACAAACTCATCACTAAATGCTTTACATCAACAAACACCATATGCTTGTGCAAATCCCTCAGCTGCAATTCGTTTTAAAAAAATGCAACAACGCAAAACTTGTCTCATATGATTGTTTTCGAGAGAATTAAGATAATGCAGAAAGATGCCCAGCACTTGGCTGGGCTTAATAATAATAGCTAATAATAAGGAAAGCTAACGGAGCGCATACCGTGTTCTGGGGCTTTTGAGGCATCGTCTCGTCTAATATCCTCACTCTGAGGTAGATACTCCGTGAGGAAGCTGAGGGACAGAGAGGTTGAGCAACTTGTCCAAGGCCAGGTGTCTGGCACAAAGGCCACACGTTCTCTGGAGGAGGGGAGGCGGGGCAGAGCAGAGGGTCATTTTTAGCCGCGACCACACCCCACTCTTCTGTAAGCCTGAACTTGGGTGGCTTCCGGCTGGAGCTGTATCTGGCATCCCTGGCGTTTTCAAGAAGCTACTGTTGCAACCCGTTGGTTACAAGGTCGCTCCAGCAGGGGTTGCTTTCATGGCCCTGCTCCAAGGTCGTCTTAAAAGGGTCGGTGTGTTTTTGTAACTGGAGGAAGAAAATTCTCAGGGGGGGTGGGCGTTAGGTAAGATCCATTAAATCTGGGGTTGGTTAGCGTTCATCCCATTAGTCAGCCCCATTCTGTTGGTGGTTTGTGGCTGGAAGTGTCTCTCGAGAAGGACCTCAGCGAAGATCAATGTGTTTGATGAGCAGCATTTGCTGTGGGCCAGGGAAGGGGCACGTGTGTGTGTGTGACATGTGTCCCGGACCCCGCGTTGTTTACGTGCTTTGAAGAGGGACTCTAGGAGTGCAGCCATACTTCCCTTTGTCCAGGTTTGGGGTGCACCCCACGGGAGCCCCCACAGGGCATGCACAATTGCGTATTTGCATAAAGAGATGTTGCTGTGTCGTTTGGATGATTGCTCATTGCGTCACCCTCACATTCCGATTTCTCACTGCACCCCTGCCGTGGGACCAAACCTCTCTCTCCATCTTTTCCTTTCATTCTCTTATTGGGTAGGCGTTACTAGTTTCATTCTCTAGAAGAGGAAACAAAGGTTCGGAGAGGTGACCCAGCTTGCCCTAGGCAGCCCAGCACCTAGAGCAGTGCCTGACACCTGGCAGGCAGCTGATAAATTAGGTCTGGATTGATCTGCTAGGAGGCCAGGCAGGCTGCAGGTTTTAGGCTTGGAAATTCCTGCTTCAACTTCCGCGTGGTGCCTGCCCCTGGTGAGGGCCTACAGCTGCCTTCCTGCCACGGCAGATACAGATATAAGCATCGGTGTCCATGCCCAGGGAAGCCGCAGTCTCCTTCCCTTCCTCCCCTCCCCTCCCCTCCCCCTCTCAGAGAGAAGTCCAAATCTTCTGGAAAGCCAAAGAAATGATCACTGCATTTTATTTGGCTACAAAGCATGAAATGGTAAATTGCCTTCATGTTTTAAATTGCTGGCGCCATCAGATTCACTATGAATACAAGTGTATCTTTTGGGGGTAATAGCCATTTTTATGCCGCTAATCTCAGAAGGAAATACGGCTGAGAGAACAGGCTGATGATGAGTTCGGTGGCCGTCCCGAGACTGATCTCGTCCAGAGAAAGCCCCCACGTCTCTCCGGGCCTGTCTTCTCCCTTAGAAATTATATTCAGTCTGTGTCTTGGTAACCACAGCAGGGGAGAGTGAAGAAAACCTAATAAGGAGTCTCAAGGCAAAACTTAAAGTGTTTGCAAAAGCACAAAATAATGAGAACGAGGCATGAGAAATTCCCTTGGTGTTGGCAGTAAGTCCCAGCTATGTGTTCAGGTCCTCAGAGCTCTTTCAAATCTCACGGCTCACGTGGTCCTCTCAGTGTACCCGGAGGCTGGTGGGAGGGTGAGGAGGATGAGGAAGGTGAAGCGATCTGCCCAAGATCGGCACAGCCTAAAAAGGGTGCAGATCTCCAACACGCAGCCAGCTGGGTGCTGGGTACATCACTGCATTTTCCTGCTGAGAAGGGAAGGGAGGTGAGGAGCCCTTCCTAACAAGGCAGTGTGTGTTGAATGAATACGTGTGACAGAGTAAGATGGGGGGGTGGGTCGACTTCCATCACTGACGGGGTTATGGGAGCAATGTCCCTGAGTGTGTCAAAAGCCTGAAAAATACAGATTCCCCCTGGCTCCATTCATTCTCCATTTTATGAATTTATCCCAAGGAAATATACAGATAAGATGTGAAGATATGATCCAGGTGCTCATATCGATATTATAAGCCAGAGCCAAGATAGTGTGTAACCAAAATATCCAAGAGCAGGACACTGGCCTAAAGAAATGAATGGATTTATGCATTATGGCATGCCTTATTTTCTGGGCTCTAACACACTGTGTTTGATGAGTAAAAGTAAGAAGATACACAGCAGCTCAGCTACAGTGGTTTTACTGCCACTTTCATTGAAAGAGCAAAAAAGAATGCAAACTTAAGGGCCCTGGCCAGCTAGCTTGCTCATCATCCTGATGCGCCCAGGTTGCAGGTTGGACACCCGGTCAGCGCACATGCCAGAATCAACCAAGGGCTATGCTTAGCGTTTTTTTTCTCTCTCAATAAAATCAATAACTAAAACATTTTAAAAAAGAACATAAACTTAAATGTCCGAGAAGTATTTGGATATGTAAATGCACTGAATACTATGTTGGGTTTTTTATTTTAAAAGAACCATGCAGCTGGATGGGTATGGACCCCAAAAGAGGTCGACAGTTTAGAAATAATGATGCAGTGACTTGGATATGAATAGCATGGTCTCGTTCCTTCACTCCACCTATCTGTAAGGATACGTGTGAAAATGTAATAGGGTCCTCTTTGGAATATAGGGCTAGATTTTTCATCGATAATACGTGAGTGGTTCTTCTTGTAGATGCTTATGACATGGCGATAATTCCCACTGTGTTCGTGCTGTGACCTCTGGGGATGAGCGGCTCCGCTCACAGACCCGACCTGCTCTGAGCGCGGTGTAGCCCATGAGGCCACTCTCACTGCATCGAAGGGGATGAGGACCCAGGCAGGGGCTGGCCTGGGAGGGATGGAGAAGGGCCAGGGGGCGCCTGACCTTGATCACCCTCACGCCGTGCCAGGCACAGAGTGCCACACTGATTCTTGTACTGAGTATGCAGAGTAAATATGAGCTCCAGCTCAAATACATTAACACTGGGGCTCAGAGGGGTTGAATAACCTGTGCGATTTCACCCCGTCTGTGACTGGGGCCTGTCTGGCTCTCAGTGTGCCTGTATTTCACCTTGTCCTCTTGATCAGCATACGCACTTCTCCTTGGCCACCAGGCCATGGCCAAACCCAGTGATAAGCAGAGGTCTTGGGAGTCCAGAAGGGCCTACTTACCATACATCCAGCCTGGCCTTACGTGAAGTGAGGGAAGAGTCTGGCTGGGACCGTAGCGTCCTTGCTCTAAGCCAGCTCTGGCCTCTGCGATTGGTGAGTTGTAGCTCCCCGGTGACTTTGGACATGAGATGAGGCGATGATACCAACTTTGTAAAAATGTGAAAACAGACCCTACCCCGCCCCCTCTGGCTTCCTGGGTAATCTTAGGCAAGTCGCTTCATCTCTTGAAAGCTTAGTGTCTTTACCTGTAAAGCAGAGTTAAAGAGGCCTATTGTTAAGGGGGTTTTACAAGGTTAAAAATGTTTGCAAAATACTGGGCAGAGTAAGCCCTCATATAGAGAATTTTTTTTTTAATCCTCACCTGAGGATATGTTTATGATTTGGAAGGAAGGGAGGGAGGGAGGGAGGGAAGGAAGGAAGGAAGGAAGGAAGGAAGGAAGGAAGGAAGGAAGGAAGGAAGGAGGGGAGAGAGAGAGAAGAAACATTGACCCCGGTACACTCCCTGTTTGGGGAGAGAACCTGCAACCTAGGTATGGGCCCTGACTGGGAATCAAACCGGCAACCTTTTGGGTACAGGATGATGCTGCAATCAACTGAGCCACCAGTTGGGGCAAGAAGCCTTTTTAATTCACTCTAAAAATATAGAGGTGGTAATACTCAGGGAATATACACCGTTTGTGAAGCCAGCCACATAGGCTGGGCAGGTATGCATGCATTTTGGAACCCCCGAGGAAAAGCATTTTCTGTTTTCTTTGCCAAATTAAAGTCAATTCCACCTTCAAATCCCTCTCTGCAAATGCTTGGAAAGATGGTGTTTAATTGATCATAACATGCTCAGCCTCTCAGGCAGGTTCTTTCCATCTCTTGCTTATCACTGCTGATTACTCAAGACGTTTTTATGTAAGCAGTAAATGATTCGTGCATAAAGGTTGACCCATCCACCCTCCCCCCCACTCTCCACTTTTCCCCTCCTCCTCTGTAGCCATCCAGCCATCCTGCCACCCTGGAGGTTGATCAGTGGAAGGTCTAGGCACCTGCTGAGGCTGAGTGGGGTGGTGAACTGGGCGGGGTGCTGAGAAAGCGGCACAACCCTGCACCCCCTGTTTGTCTGCAGCCACCATCCCGTTGCTGTGGGTACCCCATCAGGAGAGACTCTTTTCAAAGGTCACAGCCCTGTATGCCACCTCTGACTTCCTGTCAGGTAGCTCCAGAGGAGAAAGGGTTAATCCTGAAATCAGTGCGTCTCTATTTGGGGATGACATCTAGGTAAAGGTTCCTTCTGTGGCAGCTTCCTGGGCACAGGCAGTATTGGAAACCCTGGTTTTCACTGTGGTCCCCCTGACCCTCCTCTGTCCCAGCAGACTGCAGCCTAGACCACGGCGTCTCAGTGAGGATGGGGGATGTATCTCCATCCCCATTGCTTAGAGCCATTCTGGGAATGAGTGGGCGCTGTGTTTGGGGGCTTCGAGTAGTTCCACAGAGAAAGTGTGTGAGTGCTGAGAACTACAACTGCAAAGATCAGTGAGACTGGATTCTCGAAAGGTGTGGGCTTCATCTTAAAGGCCCTCTGGAGTTTTAAGAGAAGGGAGTGAAGTAACTAGATTTGTGTTTTATGAAGATTGCTCCGGCTGCCAGGAGGAGAGTGGACAAGTAAAGACAGGAAGACTCGGAGGTTGTTACAGTGACCCCGGAGAATACGGCCTGGGCTAGGCGCTGGCCCAAGGGCAGAGAGCTCCTCTGGGCTTGGGCAGCCTTTGGTGCTCACTCTGGGCAGGTGCTGTGGGTCCCTGCCCATGTCCCCTAGCCTGCCCCTGACCTTGTCTGCAGACTGATCACATGGGCTCTGACGGCTTCCTGTGTCTGTCAGCCTCAGAGTGTCCTCTGGCCACAGCCACGTGCTTGGCCCTCCTCAGAGGAAGCATCTTAGGGATGTCCTTCAACCAGTGCGGGACAGGAGGAGGTGGACAACTACCTCAGCTACCTACCCCGTCAGGGGGGCAATTCTGAAGCGTGTTCTTCAGTGGCTGCTAGAAGTCCCCAGCAGGGTCAAACCCCAGGAGCCCGGGGCACCCAGCTCCGTACGGTCTCCCGTGTAGTCTTACCTTCCCTGTCTCATTTCCTCTTCTCCTTTGCTGTGCATCCTGGGATTGTTGCCAGATAAATTTCTCGCCCCCTAATTCTCCTCTCAGGGCCTGTTTTTTTTAGAGGAACCAAAAATAAGACAATATTATAATTTTATTATAATTTCCTACTATAATGAATGGTTAAATATACATATGCATTCATGTATTCATTCATTCATGCTATACCGTGGTACCAACATTAATGATCCTTTAAAAGGCGTAGATAGCTCTGCGGGAGGCCAAATCCTGCTCAAACTTTCTCAGGTGGAGCATTTAAACATTTCACTATTGCCATGAGCAGGCCCAAACGCCAGGATGAGGCTCAGAACTGCCTCTGGTTTTCAATTTCCAAAGCCAAGCAGCAGAGGGTTCTGGGAAGATGAACTATCCACTCCAGGAGGCCCAATCTGTCTGCTCTGATTGGCGGTGTTGGGGCAGGACCCACTGAAGGTGTCAGCCTCTAGGCTTCCTTTGCCCGAGCGTATGTGAATGGTCTAAAGGGAATGAACTTTGCCCCCCGGCCAATGTGGCTCAGTTGGTTGGTCATCGTCCTCCAAACCAAAAGGTCGCCAGTTCGGTTCCTGGTCGGGACACACATGTGGGTTGTGGGCTCTGTGCTCTGCCCCCATTGGGGTGCTTGCAGGAGGCAGATGGCAACCAATCAATGTTTCTCTCCCCATCTTTCCCCTTCCCTTCCCCTCTCTCTAAAATAAAACTTAAAAAATTTTTAAAATAAAGAGAATGAAGTTTGTGGCTGGTAAAAAGTTAATATATCTCTCCCCCACTTAAAAAATATATATATATCCTCATCTTAAAAAAAATGACCTTCAGTCAGCCCAAAGAAATGCCCTATATTTCAAATTTATTGGGATAATGTGGAGGGCTGGTGTAGGAACATCTCAACCATCCAGAGTAGCCCTGTGGTTGTCAGCCAGGGTGGCTTTGCACCCCAGGGACATTTGCACCTGGAGACACTTTTGGCATCACAACTAGAGGCGGGTGCTGCCGGCGCCCAGTGGGTAGAGAGACCCGGGCTGCTGCCCACATCCCACAGGACAGCCCTGAGGCCTGGGGCTCCCAGCCCAGAGGTCAGTAGTGAGAGACCCTGCTTGCAGGGACTCTGTGTCCCAGCTTGTCTGTTGCCCTCCAGGTTTGAGGAGGGAAGAATGCCACTCATGGGGAATTTCTGGGGGTCCCAGCTCTGCTGAAATCCTCGGTGTTTGTTTTCGCTTCAGGGGGTTTGAAGGCTGCTGTGGGGAGACACGCAGGGCCATGGCCGTTGTTAAGGGTTTGAAGTTGGTCACGACTGTGGGATGTTCCAACAACCACCACGTCTTATTACGAGAGGAGACTTGATATCAGTACCATAAATAAAAACCGGAGTCTCTTGCCCTGGCTGGTGTAGCTCAGTGGATTGAGCATGGGCCTGCGAACCAAAGGATTGCGGTTCGATTCCCAGTCAGGACACATGCCTGGATTGCAGGCCAGTTCCCAGCAGGGGACGCACGAGAGGCAACCATACATTGATAGTTCTCTCCCTATCTCCTTCCCTTCCCCTTTAAAGATAAATAAATAAAATCTTACAAACAACAACAAAAAAACCCAGAGTCTCTTGGCTTCAGTGTTCGTTGTTGTCCTCATTGTACTTTGTGGCTTTGTGACTCGGCCAGGGGAGGGGAATTACAGAACTCTTTGACCTTCTGTGTTTATTAGACGTGGTGTTTGGCCGCCTGGCTCCAGTCCGGCAGCCTGGCTCCGGCCCGGCAGCCCGCCATTCCTCTCTGCCAACCTTCTCTCCCCCTTAGCAAAGACGCCCTTCCCTGTGCCGTGAACGGGAGGCATTGCCATTCTGGTCGTGTCTCTCCTCAGTTCTGTCTGATTTTCGGAAATTACAGTAAATCAGTGGTGCACTGAAAATTGGCCAATTTTTTTTTCCGAGGGTGTTGGCTCAGCTTGATGAGAAAGCAAAAACAAATGGAGTTTTATAAATGTAACTAATCAGGAAGTTAAAGAAAGGTTAATCCTAATGGATTAATCAAGTTCTACTGGGACTTGGGAAGGAAAGGTGGGGGGGTGGGGGAGAGAAGCAGGTGGTGACGGGGCAGGCATTTGCTCAGACGAATTTAATAAGCCTGGCACGGGAGCCAGCTTTCTGAGCGTCTGGGGCTTTTTGTCTCTCTGTCCGTCCTTTCTTGGTCGAGCCTCTCAGCGAGCCACACGATGGTCACGGTCTGGCGTGCAGAGCAGGGCAAAGACCTTAGCTCTGGCCTCTGGTTCTGCCCCTCACTGGTCCTGTGACCTTACAGACATTCCTTCACTCTTTGAGCTGATGTGAGGCTCCTCTGTAACAGGGGGTGAGTGTTCCAATTTTCCAACATGATAAGGCTTGTCAAGGTCAACAGCAGTGATATAGTAGCATTGCCAGAGGTACAGGTGCAGGCGGAGAGGGACGGTTGTCCAGCACCCACAGGGACCTTGAGGCGGCTCTCTTCTCCGAACAAGGGCTGCCAGCGGGTGGGCAGTGCAGATGCTGAGGCCTCCTCCCTCTCTCCTGGAGGCCTGGGTGTCCCTCTTCACTCAGGCCGCTCAGGGTGGGCTCACACCGATGCGGGCCCACTCCGGGGTACAATTAGTACCAGTGAATGCAAGACATCTTAACAGAGTTATTAATGATATACATTTCTGTCTGTAGGAGACTAAGACCGTCAGCCCCATTAAGCACCATTATCAATGCATGATCTAATGATTTCAACATAATGAAACTAATAGATTTCACAGGAATGGGAGGGAATATCCCACATCTCCAAACTGCAGTTTTCTTGGCTCGGAAGTCCTCGAGGCAGGGATAATAGTTGTTCTGAGTTTTGTCACGTCTAATTGCTACAGTGCTCTACAGTTTACATATCATTTTCACAGTCCTTTTTAACTTGTTTCATTTTTCCAGAAATTTGGAGGGGGAGAAGGTCGGAGAAAACAGGGTGCACTTGTTGAGAATACTTGGGCTGCATGCAAAACAGAAAACCCAACCTACATTGCTTAAGGAAAAATAATGAATTGCAGGGGCGGGAATAGGAAGATTGCTGATTCGCATAACTGAGTTGCCCTGGGACATTCTCATTCAGGAGTGGTTTGATCCAGGGGTTCATGCTCTCAGGAAGGATCTGGCTTTGTTTCTGGATGATTCTCTCTACTGCTGTGTTGGCTTATTCCTGAGACTGACTCCCAGTGGCCTAGTATTCTCATACTCTCACTTCACAGCGCCCAGAAGGGAGACAGACAAGCCCTTGTGGCCGGTCTCATGGAGAGCAGAACCCTTGTCTGCTTCAGAATCCTCCCGTCCTATCTCATTGACGTGAACTAGGTCAGGTGCCCGTCCCTCTGCCAATCACAATGTGGATGGTTATGTGCACTTATTAGTTTAAGCCAATCAGGGCCCACCCTAGAGCTGAGGGTGGGATGAATTCCACTGAAAACAGCAGAATAGAGCTGCAGATGGGGCAGGTGGGGGAGGTACCTACGGGAAAATGTGAATGAGTCCTCTTGGTGGGAAAGGAGGACACAATCTGGAGAAACAACCCAAGTGCCCATCGCCCAGTGATCTGAGGAAGTTGAGAGGCCCGTGCAAAGTCTCCCAGACCCTGACTTGTGGGACCAAGCCGTAAATTCAGAGTCCCGTCTCAAATCTTGTACTGGAAATGCCAGGCTTCTCTGGAAACCCGAAGGATTTCCCCACTACGCTTTGAAGTTATCTACCAGCTCTGTTCTTAGGAAAACACTGGGAAGCTCAGGAGCGTCATGCTGAGCCAGGAACTTCCTGTCCACGCACATTTAAAACACACAGCCCAAACTCCAGACCCTAACGGAAGCGAGATTGTAGTTGACATTGTCCTGAGTACATAGGAATTCCTGTCAGTGTTATCACGGGAAGTAGCTGGACAGAAGCAAGTCTCATGGCCCCACACCCTGCTAAGTCAGTCAGCCATCATCTCCCCAGTCATACTGCTTTTTCTAGGGTCCCCATTCTCTGTAACGAGAATCACCCACTGCCACAGCGCTGGGAACTGGCCGAGGTTAATACACACAGCTCCCCACGAAGCAGGTGACATTACTGTCTCTATTTCACCAGAGAGAGCACCGTGATTCAGAAGTCACTCAGTGACTGAGCTTCCGAAGTCGCTCAGTGAGTGTGGAGAGTGGGATTTGAGTCCAGGTCCGCACCACGTGCTCCTCCTCCCCAGGCTGCCGAGGCCAGGACACGCCCTGGTCTGGTCAGGAAGCACGTGGAACACGTCAGATCCCGCCCTTCTCTCCTGCCTGGATCGGACATCAGTGCTCTTTTCCCTGTGGCCTGTCACTCAGGTCCAGGACTGAAAGACCTGATTGAAAGGCTTGCCCAGCATTACTGCTCCAGCGGGGCCACCTGCTCGGGACACACGCGGAGTAGCGACGGGAAACATCTGCCTGGGGAGCACCAGGGCTTCTGTTGGCGGAAATGTGTAGGCGGAAGAGCTGTCCCCCCACATGGGGAGGGGGGATTCTGAGCACAGGTTCTGGTATTGTATTGTCGGCCACATCCTGCGGAGCTGGAAGTGGGAGAGCCGGGTGGCTTCCCAACGGGGACCCTCAGCAAGAGGCTGGAGGAGTCCCTGGATGTTTTGTCAGATGGGTCATTGACTTGCTTCTTGGAGGGAGCACACAGAATGGAGGGGTGTAGGCAAACCTACTGCGGCAAAGCCAGCCCTGCCGGACATTCGTGCGCGTTTTGTGTGTGTGCGCACTGAGTCATAGCACAGGAAGAGTGTTCCTGTTCTGTAAGACTCCTCACAAGACCCCCCCCCACAACCCTGGCTTTCCCCCAGGTTACTCCAAACAGAATTGGGGTGACAAAGTCAACTTGGGTTGATTGCGCTGCAGCCTTGCAGTAATACTTGTACTGGGTGAATTTAGGTTGTCTTTCCTTCTTCCCTCCCTCTCTTCCTCTCTCCTTGTCTCCCTTCCTCTCCTCGCTTCCACCCTTTCGTTGAACAAAGTGTAGCGGAGCATCTGTTATGGGCCGGTTACTGT